GGGGAGCGCGCGCGGCCCCGCCTCCCCCCCCCCGCCCCCGATTGGCTGCCCCGCGCGGGGCCGCGCGCGCTGCCCCGCAGCGCCCCCGGGTGGCGCGGCCGCCACAGCGCAGGGAGCGGCGGCGCGGGCAGCGCCCGGAGCCTGAGGGGCCGCAGCCTGAGGGGCCGGAACCTGAGGAGCCGGAGCCTGAGGAGCAGCAGCCGGAGACCGGGGGGCCGCAGCCCGAGAAGCCGGAGTCCCAGCCCGAGAAGCCGGAGCCGGGCCGTCGCAGTCACCACCCCCACCACGGGCGCCGGTGCGCTTCTCTCGCCAACGCTTCTGGAAAAAGGTCTTTTCCCTCCCCCTTAGCCACGGGGATGAGCTGCCGCCAAGCGTTTGCCTGCTTAACGCATCACAAGCGAGAAAGGATGCGGACTGCAAAGGGCAGTCTGCCTGGTTTTTGTTCCTTGCAATCGTAGCGGGAATAAAGTCTGTGTGTGTGTGAAAAGAGATAACGGCGATGTTTACTCGTGTTCCCGCGGTAATCTTAAAGGAGATTTGCTACGAAAGTCAATGACACTTCTCGCGGAAAATACTAGCGGTACTCGCCGCCAAGTGCCCGCCCGCCTGTGCCGCACCGCCCGTAGTGGCACACCCGGGGGATTCCATCCCGGAGGGGCTCCCACCCTCCGGAGGGAGCAGAGGGCAGGAAGTTGCCTCTATCCCACAGCCTGGCCGGGCTCCCCCGCGGCGGTGCTCTGGTGCCCACGCAGACACCCAGGGACCCGGTCCCGGAGGTAGCACCGGGGTACGGGGCCCGGGAGACCCCGACCCTGCTCTGGCCAAGCGGAGCGCTCCTTTACCCGCGGAGAAGTTACAGGTCTGCGCCCCCGCTCCTCGCTCCCCGCCGAGATTTCCCGGCCGGGACCAGCACCTCCCCGGCAGCGGCCCGGCCCCAGGAGGACGGGGCAGGGCTGGCTGCGGGGCGCAAGTTGCCGTGAGTTTGTTCGCTCTCCGCCAGGCTGGCGCCCTCCTCCCCGACGAGCTTCCCCATGCCCCGGCCGTGCGAGGGGCCGGGGACACTCACCAGGTAGAGAGTGGGCTGCAGCAAAAGGACCGCGTACCAGTACACAGCCTGCATCCTCGCCGCTCAAACTTCCCCCGCGCTGCTTTCGCTGCCTCTTTGTTCCTTCCAGAACATAGATCCACCTGACATCCACTTTACAGAACAAGCAGAGCTCTCACCAGCCTAGACAAAAACGAAATTATAGATCCCATGACCACAAGACAAGGTTAGGCTTAGCACAAGGGGGGAAGAGAGGGGTGTAG